TCCCAATCGCACCAGTATTCATTATAACCAGTGATTTGAAGTTCAGTAAAGTTGACGGAATCGGACAATAGTTCAGTACAGTTGGCGTGATTTAGAGCTGGTTTGGCTATACTTAGGGACCGACGAGACATATGATAGCAAAGGTAGACGAAAAACGTGACGACAAGAACCAGAATTTTATAAATTCTGAGCTCTTTTAAGTGGAAAGTGGAGCAGAATTTGGACACTAAATAAGAGCTCAGCGGACGGCTAAAGGACGGCATCTCTGATGTAATACTTGAATAAAATCTCTTAGAAAAGAAGAAACCTTTCGTTTTCTTAAATAATATTTCTTTTCGTAAGAAATGTTTGAATAAAATGTTTGTTAATTTGTTGTTTAAATAGTATTCATGTATTCGTATCACCGGTTTGTGACTGAGAGCCAGACCCACCAAATATCGTCATATTGTTCAGCTGTTACTGAATGTGATTGGCTGTCAAAGTGGTTATTAAAATGTGGTTTTGATAAGCTAATATTTGCCGTAAAAATAATGCAATTCATTGCAGTAAATATTTTCTTATCGGATAATATTAATTATCAAATTAAATGCAAAAACAATTAATCGTTAGTACAGTATCTATTTATGTACGCAAACATTGCACCGGTTACGGTACTCTAATCAAAAGTGAACTGTAATAAAGTTTACATTTTATTTAGTTGTCCCGTACTTTTGTGGCTTAAACTACTAAATTATTACAACTGGATATAATATAATTACTTTGAATTGTTTGCCCTCACGACTGTTTTTATGTTTACATAATTTTTATATAATTTTTTATTAGCCAAAATCCTTTAGAATCATTCAATACATCAATCATTTTATTCAAACATACAAATTGTATATTAACTTTATATATGAACTTGTTTTTATTCAATTTATTATATTTTTGCACATTTTGTTTACAATTACTGTACGAGTCAATAATTTTTCATCATAATTATCATCAGATGTTTGTTTTTCTAAGAATCTCTCTCTCTCTCTCTCTCTCTCTTTATATATAATACATTGAATTAGTGAATAATAATACATGTATTGAACAGAATATTAACTCAAATTATATTTCTTTTGAATTAATCCCTGATTTATTAATTTCTAATATGAAGACATTATTCAATGAATCATTCAATGTATTCAAGTTTCTGTACAAATATTAAATCTTCAACAGTACAGTAATAGCATTATAAAACATTTTTGTCTCACTTCAAGAGGATTAATAGATCAATAAATGCCATTTCATATGAATGACCAAGGTTATTTGTTATACAAATTCATTAATTTCGAAACTATCTCTATTTTAAAAGCAATTTAGAGATATTTATAACTTTTAAACAATAATGTTAAAACAATATTTTGTTTCATTAACAATGTCGACTTTAAAGTGACTTTAATTATTAGGTTGTGGTCACTGTGCCATAGATTTCAAGTTAGACAACCTTGTTGTCTATTATTAAAATAAAGCTAATTTATATTAATGAGTTTAATCCTTGATTTCTAAATCATAACACTTTCACAATATAGTGAAGGATTTATTGTTATTTTTCAATCATATATAATACATTGAATTAGTGAATAATAATACATGTATTGAACAGAATATTAACTCAAATTATATTTCTTTTGAATTAATCCCTGATTTATTAATTTCTAATATGAAGACATTATTCAATGAATCATTGAATAAGGTATTCAAGTTTCTGTACAAATATTAAATCTTCAACAGTACAGTAATAGCATTATAAAACATTTGTCTCACTTCAAAAGGATTAATAGATCAATAAATGCCATTTCATATGAATGACCAAGGTTGCTTGTTATACAAATTCATTAATTTCAAAATTATCTCTATTTTTAAAGCAATTTATAGCTTTTAAACAATAATGTTAAAACAATATTTTGTTTCATTAACAATGTCGACTTTAAAGTGACTTTAATTATTAGGTTGTGGTCACTGTGCCATAGATTGCAAGTTAGACAACCTTGTTGTCTATTATTAAAATAAAGCTAATTTATATTAATGAGTTTAATCCTTGATTTCTAAATCATAACACTTTCACAATATAGTGAAGGATTTATTGTTATTTTTCAATCATAAGAATGACATGAAATTATCTATTATTTAAGATTTATTAGCATATTATAAGTTACAAACATTATTTAAAATAAAAATAAATTATAATCTTAAATCATACAAATACTTAACATACAATATCTCAAGTAACTGAATTTAATATTACTGTAATAAAATATAACACAAAAAACAAAATGAATTATTTTATAATTTATTTCCGAATTCTTGTGTTAATCTGATTAACACAATGAGTAAAACACGTGAAAATAATTACTTGAAAATTCCATTCATGTTCTGAATATTAAGTGCATACAAAGTGCTATAAACTATAAAGATTGTAAAAGTTATTCAAATCAACCTTGGTATAAATTAATAAATAGTGAAGTTTAAGTTTAATTAAACAAAAAAGTACAAATTATCTAATTTTCATAAACATGTTAATTAAAACCAATTACTAAATCAAATCCAGAATAAAGATTTTAAATGCTTTGTTTCAAATAATCTAATAATCAAAATGGTTTTATTACTTCAGTCGAGTTGTCGGTATTTTTCTGCAGTTAATGATCATTAGATAATCAGAAAGTTTAAAATATTTGAGATTACATGTTATTTTACAACCTTTCAGTGCAAATTGAATCATAACTATAATAATGGGCAAGAATTGTGTACCGAATTACAAAATGACACATTTAATGAATAGATATTAGGATCAGAGTCAATTAATTCACACGATTGCACCCAACATCATACAAAAATGTGCCCTTACACAATTTTAGTAAAATGCCATATTCTTATGTTATATGTGAACAATTTGGTACAGAATTTATNCTCGTCGGTCCCTAAGTATAGCCAAACCAGCTCTAAATCACGCCAACTGTACTGAACTATTGTCCGATTCCGTCAACTTTACTGAACTTCAAATCACTGGTTATAATGAATACTGGTGCGATTGGGAACCGTTCAAGGGTGGTCATGCTCGCACACTATTGGGTAAATAAAGTTATTATTTAAAAAGTATATAGTTTATATTAACGATTTTGTTTCACATGATGAACAGGTACATTGGATTTAGTATTCTTGATATCATACTCCGTCAGTATGTATATCAATGGATGGATTGCCGAACGCATGAATTTGCGGTACTTTCTGATAATTGGTATGTTATTTGCGGGATTGTGTAATGTATTGTTTGGACTCGCATATTACCTGGATATCCATTCGTTGGCCTATTTCTATATAATCCAAGTTCTCACTGGAATCGGTCAGTCGACTGGTTGGCCAGGTATGTTAACATTGAATCTAATAAGAGGTGCCACCGAAGCTTATTAATCTTAAATTTTGATAATCAGGTGTATTGGGAACAGTCGGTCACTGGTTTGGGCCCTCCAAGAGAGGTCTTATCTTTGGTATCTGGAACTCTCATCTCAATTTCGGTAACATAGCCGGTGCTGCAGTGGCCGGGCTGTTCGTAGACGACCAATGGGGTCTGTGTTTCATAGTTCCCGGGGTCATAATCGCCGCCATGAGTCTACTGGTGTTCCTATTTCTCGTGCAAAGTAAGTAACATTTCTATTGAATAATCCGTTTGTCAAACACGTGAAACAATTTTGTGTAACTCATGAATCGTTATCAATGATAACTTATCACGAATTATAAGCAAATAATTGATTACTTATTGATTCTTGTTTTCTAATAATTATTTTTATATTATCTAATCGTTTGCGTAGAACCAGAAGAAGTCGGTTTGAGTTTGAGTTCAGATACGGAACATACGGAACAAACTCCAGTCAAAAGTAATGATATGAACCGAAACATCAAACAAATTCAATTCAAAGATGAGACACAACAACACAAAGCCATCAGTATCTTAGATGCTATTAAAATACCGGTAATTATCATATCTTATCATGAAATCTAACTTTTGTTTGAATACTATTTTAGTATTGATATCAATATACATAATAATAATATTGATACTAATTATAAGTATTATTTGTAAATCAGGGGGTCATTGAGTTTTCAATCTGTTTATTCTTCGCTAAACTGGTCAGCTATACATTCCTCGATTGGTTGCCATTATATATATCG